GAAGGGGTGATATGTGGAGGGGATGGAGAGGTCGTGCGTAAAGGAGGGGAGAGGTGGTGGGGAAGAAGGAGGGAGGGAGGGAGAGTTGGTATGTGGAGGGAGGGAGAGGGAAGGAAAGAGGTAGGTGGTGGGAGGGAGAGGAGAGGTGGTAGGTGGTGGGAGGGAAGGGAGAGGTGGTATGTGGAGGGATGGAGGAAGGAAGAGGTGGGTGGTGGGAGGGAGAGGTGGTAGGTGGAGGGATGGAAGGTGGTATGTGGAGGGAGGGAAGGAGGTGGTGATGTGTAGGGAGGGGTGAATATGTGGAGAAGGGGTGGTATGTGGAGGGAGAGTAGGGGTGGGTATGTGTAGGGAGGAGGGGTGATATGTGGAGGGGGGTGGAGGTGGAGGGAGGGAGGGAGGGTGGTAGGTGGAGGGGGAGGGGAGGGAGGGGTGGGGTATGTGGAGGGGAGGAGGGGAGGGTGGTATGTGGAGGGGGAGGGGAGGGGGTATGTGGAGGGAGGGAGGGGTTATATGTGGAGGGAGGGAGAGGTGGTATGTGGAGGGAAGGAGGGAGAGAGGGAGAGGTGGTAGGTGGAGGGAGGGAGGGAGTGAAACTGGGTCATAAATTTTACGTTTTTACGTATTTTAACGTATATTCATGTTCGAAGCTTCAAATGCTTCAATGAAGCATCAAAATGACTTAATGAAGCTTCGTGACGTCACTCTCAACCTTCATATATAAAGTCTCGACTAACTCATTGTCGTCCCAGACCCAAGGGAGCAGAACAAAGATAAAACACCAATAAGAAAGATGAAGCGATCTGGTTGAGCCCAGATTCTTTCTACTCCTACTGTATTTCAGTTTCGCCACTTTTTCCTTCAACCCCTAATAATCTTCTTTCACCTCTTAACTAAAGACTTCGTATCGTATCATTGTCGTCCCAGTCTTCATCGACCATCACCACTCCATTGGCTGCAGCTGACAGGCAGGTAAGCTCGAGCTGCCTCACACCTCTAGTCTCCATTATCTACGAGTAATGTTTTTCCCCGACTATCTACAGTCAAAATGGCCAAGAGAAATGATTATTCTTTTGGCTAGTGTTTAGTATACTTAATTATGGCGTAATAAATGCTATTTAAGTAAAAAACTTGCCAGCCGGTTGTTGCAGTTCACTTGCCTCCACGGGTCGTATCCCCAAGATCCACTGGGCTGTAAGGCCTATGGTACCTACTTTGCAGCTTAAACAAATACATTAATATGGTTTAGTATTATATTAAGCGTTTCTCTAACGTCTAACCAGTAATTTCTTAATGCTTTAGGCAAATATACCGCCAAATGAGCCATGACAAACGAGCCTAACTATAAGCCGGTGGTGGACAAACGAGCGTAAACCGTACATCAGTATTCATGTAATAATTAACCAGTAAGCGAGTTCAATGACCAGATTGGGTTAGATTATTGTATTTACTTTTTAATTTCACATTTTCCCCCTTGCTTGGAAGCCCAACCCACTTTTGGCGGAGCCTGGTGGTCACAACTCAATAATTACGCATTTCTCCAAACGTCCATTATGACCACTGTATTCACCATTAAAAACTGCGCCACAATGACTACTGTAGGTTTGACAAATATAACGATTTTTTGCGGAATTACAATATAATTTTTTTTACTGGCTATTTCTCTGCTTACTCTTTAACTACAATTTCTGGAAGTTGAAACAGAATTTATTACAGGTTTTAGCCGAGGCGGGGCGAGGTAGGGAGCCGGCAGAGGCGAGAGCCGACGGAGGGCGAGACGTTTCAGATAGTCGAGGTTGAGGTGTTTCAGAATACAGTATAAAGTACTGTATATTAAATAAAGTAACATTAAGGGTTCCTGGTTAATTTTTAAGTGGACAAACCTGGATTTTACCATCGGAAAAGCACATTGCTCAACAACCAAAACGCACCAAAATTAACCTAACAACGAAACCTAACCTAGAGGTTCGTTGGTTGTCTACTTGTAAAAAAAAAAATACCGGGTTCCTAAAATAAATGTTAGTTGCATATAAAGAGTTAAAATATATTGGTAAATAAGGCAGCAACCATCTAATTAACCTCTGGAATATGTTAAAATGTTTGGCTCGCCTGAAGATTCATCCCCCAGCTTATTTCAGCTGAAGATCAATTTAACCTTAGCCAATCTACGTATTACAATGTGCTGGTATGAGGGCCTAAGCTGCCACCATTTATGAGGGCTCCTACTGCCACCATTTATGAGGGTCACTACTGCCACCATTTATGAGGGCCACTACTGCCACCATTTATGAGGGCCTCTGTGTGCCAGTAACAATTCCTTTTACTCTCATACTTATTACCATTGGTAGCGTGACGATAGGAGGCTCGTGGGTAGATGTAATGATAGTATCAAGCAATAGGGGAGAAATAACGGTAAATACTGTAGGTAAATAATAGACACAATTATACAAATACAAAGTTTATTTAAACATGAATATGAAATTAGGAGAAAGAATTTATTTGTACCAACAGACGAAATCTAGTACTAGGCCCTCAGGCTCAACATACTCACACCATTACTGGGTGGACATACTCAATAACACTTCCAACCCTACTGGGTGGACATACTCAATAACACATAACTCTTATAGTCACTTAGCACCATAAAGACCAGGGCAACTGCCACTACAACACTCAGTCGTCAGGGGTGATACTCAAGCAACAGCCATGGGGTCCAGCCACCATGGAGTACTTTCCGACGAACTCTGAAGATCCCAGTGGATTAATTCCACCACACAAATAGCCCTACTGAGTTAGACACTCATCCACCAATGATGGGGGCTGGTAGTGGTGTGTGTGGCTTGGTGATCCGGGGTCACCTCGCAGGCCGAGCGTTAGGGCCAGACGAGCCAGCTATGGGGGCTATAGGTAGTCTGAAGTGTCTGACGGCCGGGTCTCACGAAGGTAACTGATCCTACTGGACCTCGGATATCTCCCCAGACATAGTGGATACAACATCCACGCTACAGACACGGCCTAGGCTGCGTTAGGGACCTGTATGGATGAAGGGACGGGCACTCACTAACGGTAACAACAACAAAACGTTTCAGGGGACGTTAAAGACGTAAATATGACTTCACTCAGAGCATATCAACTACGTTACTGTAACACTTGCACAATCAACTATTAATTGGGTCAAATCACTTAAAGAAGGGCGAATTACAACACAGCGTGGAATGGCATACCCGTATGGATGAAGGGACGGGCACTCACTAATGGTAGAAATGCCCGCGGGGCCCTCACTCAAAACAGACCAGGGAGCCCACCTACTTCTATTCCGATGAATTAATTTACTGTACACTCTGACGTTGAAACTGAGACTATGAACTCAGTTTCATTCCCTACTATTATCCTCACTAACAATGCTCTGACTCAGCTATCAAAAGCAAAATTAAATTGATTACAAAGGGTTGGATGGCAACAGGTCCCAACATACAGCGTCTGTGACTAAATCCGTGGATTATATTCAAAGTTCCCTTAAGACAAAGACGGGGGAAACAGAGAAAACGGGGGACGTTTCCACTGGGGGACTCAGAAGGTTTTGTGGAAGTTTGAGCGTAATATGAATCCTTAAGGTTTTCAGGTTAGCCGTTATCACGATCATGACACTGGTGTATCTTTTTCAGATAAAAGAATGATTACAGATCCAACTACAGTTCAAAACCCTCTGTGGTGCAGTATGAGGTCAAAAGTGTAGTGTGGTGCAGTTTGTGAGGATAACAAACCACGAGTGTGAGAAGCGAGGCTTCTGACACTACACAACAGTATTCCTTGAGGTATTATTTTAACGTTTTGTATGAAGGTGTGGATGGGTGTAGCCTGCTATGGTGTCATTAATGTTTTGTGAGGGTGTGGGTGGGTGTACCTTGTCGGTGGTCGTTTAACTCTGTGGAGTTGTGGGTGGGTGTGGCTTCCTGTGGTATCGTTAAATGTTTTGTGAGGGTGTGGCTTGTTGTGGTGTCATATAACGTTTTGAGTGTAGGTGGGTTTGGCTTGTGGGGTCATTTAAAGTTTCGTGAGAGGGCGTGGGGTGGCTGTGGTTGTGTTCCCATGAGAAGGAATTGTGCACGAGGTGGGCAGGTGGTTGTGGTGAAGTTTGTCATTCAAACGAAGTGTAAACAAGCTGTCGAGGGGGACACTTAAGGGGGCATGAGGGAGGGAAGGTCTAGTAAGAGCTGTAGTAAACCTTGTGTATAGTGCATGAAGCAGTCTAGTGATGTGTAGTATAGTGTAGCAGTACCGTATTGGTGTTGGCGAGAAGTAATTTGAGTAAACTAATGTGGAGGTAATGATTTATGTAAACAGTTGGGGGCAGTTTAAGTACACGTGGTAGATGGAAGATGCAAGTGTAATTTTCATTCTACATTAATTACAACTTTAAACATGTTGCAGGTGACAGCTGATGTACTTGAAGACCAATGAAGAAGTGACGGAACCTTGAGCAAGATTTAACAAGCAGCATGTTACTTCAGCCTCATCAGTTAAGTTACTTGTATATCTTGGCTATTATGGTCATCCCATAAACCACACAACACTGTGCTCCTACACTGGGCAGTGGAGGGTGTGTATGTGTTGGAGGACTGTGTGCATTGGAGGGCTCTGGAGGACTGTGTGTGGACTGACTGTAGTAAAATTATATTAGTTGTAGTGACAGTATAAATATACAGGACTACATGCCTACTGGTTATTAGAGAAAATTAGCAGTAGTATAGTAGTATATTTAGCACGTAAAGCAAGTTGTTGTGCGTGGGTTTCGACTAACTTTACTGACCTAACCATCCTAACTTAGATTAAACATAACTAACCTAGACTGAACCAAATCAGTATTACGCTATTATACAAAACATGTTTAGTATTTAATATATTCAAAGAACCTCAATTCATACTATTTTATAAGCCACTTGGGTTTACTGATCATGAATACAGAGTGTTACCTAAAATTTACTTTTGTAAATTATTAAAATTTGATAAATTGTGTACAGTTGGAGTCAAAGTACAGGAGGTCTAGTGGTAGAAGGATATTGTAGGTTTAACCTTCATTTTACAGAAATAACTCGAAAAATATTGCAGGTGACAGATGATTTACTTAAAGGCCAACATAGAGGAAGTGACGGAGCCAACCTTGAGCAAGATGTAACACATGTTAATTCAGCCTCCCCAGTTAAGTTACCTTAAGTTACCTGTGTCTTTGTATAGCTATCCTAAAACCCACAATGTAAGAATGAAAAAGAGTGACTTGCTTTGTGAGAAGGGTTGGGACGCTCGTACGTTGGGCAGTGGAGGGTACTCGTGCACGGGCGGTAGTGGTGTGCTCATACAATGGTTAATAGTGAATTTTATAAATTTATCTGAGTAAAATGGCATGTACTGTGAAGGAATGTTGTGGATGATGCCTGTGAGAAGACTGCTGCTCACCGCGTAATTTGTTATAGGAGTGTGCTCAAGTGTATGGATATCTGTAAGTATACAAGGTAGAATGCAAGAAATTTTGGTAATGATACATTAATGTTAATTAAGAATGACCTAAATTCAAAATATTATTTCAGGTGGTTGGTGTACAAGATCGATGTACCAGGTGTGAAAGCAAGATGGCCAGATGACCACAGCGACTGTTCTCAACCATCCCACACCTTCAAGACTGCCAGCTTAAGCAAAAATTTATTTATACAAATAAGAATTGAGAAAATATTTAAAAGTACGTACAGTAAAGTAATATTTAAGAACGTATAAGTAAGCCTCGAGTCGAGCCACAGATTAAAAAAAAGTAGGTATATTGTGTAATGGCTGGCACTTGTATCGAGAAAGAGAATATTATGTTGGCTCTCATTATACAATATATGTTCATAATCAAATAAACCCTGAATAAATTCGACATCTTTTATACTCCGATTTTGGAAAAATAGAATAATAATGATCTTGTAAACTGAACTTGAAACCTAAAGGTGAGGTGTAGAGTACAGTATACTGTGATGCCAATACGATAGCCTATGTATACTTATCACTAATTGACATCCAAGTGCCAGCTTATGTAGAACTGTTGCAAACTAATGCCCATGCAGTGACCTATTGGGTATGCAAAATCAAAACTAAAAAGATGACTACAGGACTGTACCTACAGATGGCATTGTAATATCTCATTTCAGTGTAGTTATTACTAGGGGTACATCATCAAAAATGCATCTTTATGGTGGTGTTAAACCATGGCACCTCAGAAGGAGTTTGACAACCTTGGAGACAACAGGTGTCGATCTTCATTTTGAAATTCATTGGCCATGTCCGTAAAGATACGTTTTTGATTTTGTATACCGGTACATATTATTTTGAAAGTAATGTATACATAGTACATGAAAGTAAAGTACAGTAGGGATTTTACTTACGGAATGTTGACAATCTGGACACTGCACACCAAATGTTGAATGGAAGTCTGTTTTGCCTAAAATTTTGAAAAGAAATCCTTTTAAAATTATAATTCAAATTCTAAATTTACTATTATGTATAACACTGTAAATTAAATTAATTGTACAAAAAGCTAAAGACTTTGAAATCCAATGGTCATGTTTAAAGTTGTAACGTTTTGAAACGAAATAATTTTATATTTGACCTAAAGTACAGTGGGTGTTGGTGGTAGTGTGAGTATCTTGCAAAACTGTCCTGGGGCCCAAACTCCAGCCTGGGACAGATACGAGAAGGGTGCTGAAAGGTGTAAACCTAGCAAATATCATGCCCACTCCTTCCCACACCTGCCAAAAGGCTAGTAAATGGACTAGTGGTGAATACTATACAGACTTGGTCACTTGAATAAATTTAAATTTAGAAATACCCCTATACTGGTCAAAATTATTCACAAAGTACAAGACTTCCATTATTAGATCACACAATCTTGTGTATGACCAAAACCTGACATAAGATAGACAATCATTAAGGTATAGTATAATAAACTAACCTTAAGTGGAGTCCATTATAGACGTTGAATTGGGAAATACTTGAGATTGTGAAAGCGTGATGATACCTCCATCACAATGTATCTGCCGAGAAGAAATGTGCATAGTAGTGGCAATGTGCTTATCTCGAGATAAGAGAAAAATTTTATCGTGACATTACCAACCATTACAAGTTCTCTGATTTCCTCCTACACTAATACTAGATAATTAAAGTTTTAATTGATAACATAAGACTACCCGAATGTCTAGTAAACTTAATTACCTACACAGAGCAGGTTTAACACAGAACAATAAGGCAATTTGACAAGTTCTTTTGTAATCTTTCTGTATAAAACTTCTGGACTATTATTGTAAACCAACATATATGAGGTGTATAATAAATGAAAATGAACTATATACCTGTAGAACTCCTTTTATTTTTCAAGATTTCCTGTCTACAATACCTAATATACTGTGTACTGCATGGTTAGTCTTGCAATTTTAAACATGGTCTCAAAACATGAAGGTCCCATTAAGTGGGAGTGAGTGTATATGTAAATATCTACATTGCTGGTCTTGGTAAATATACAGTAAACATGGTCTTCTTGATAAAATAAGAGTTACTGTACCTTGTATTATAAATTGGTCTAAAAAAGAAGAGTTTAAGAAGTGGTGATCATGCAACACTGCAGTAGCCCTCCTCCTTTATCCGGGCTGGGGACCGGCATGTTCAGTTGAACAAGGCGGAGTTACTACTGTATATCTACTACTAACTATGGTGCTGTTACTGTTACAAAAATATGTTTTACTTTTACCACCTCCAGGAAGCACCTTGCTGTGGGTCCACAGTCAGCCATACAAACCTGGAATACAATAAGTTTTAGACTGTTTATAAAGTCGTTATATATAGACATAACTTATTGTCACAAGTACTTGACCTGTTTGGTAGGGTTCGTGTCCTGCCAGACGTTCGCCTCAGCCAGTCAACCCTTCACCAAAGCCAGCCAGCCAGCCAGCCGTTCTCCTCAGACAGCCACACAATCTGAAAGATTTAGAAAGACCCTCAGGGTGTGTGAATGAGAGGAAGGGTGTGTGGATGGGTGAGTGGATGGAAGGACCTCCCATCCACACACACACACTCACTCCCATGCAGACACCTTTCCTCCCACCCATACACCCACCCCCTCCCACCCACCCCTTCCCACTCCTCCCCCCCGTACCCCCCTCCCACCCATCCCCCTCCTCCCCACCCACCCACACCCCCTTCCCCTCACTCACCTCCAGGCAGCACCTCCTTGTGGGTCCACAGTCAGCCATACAAACCTGGAATACAAAAAGTTTTAGACAATATTCATAAATACCTTACATATAGACATTATATATTGTCACAAGTACTTTACCTGTTTGGTGTGGTTCTTCACCTGCCAGACGTTCGCTTCAGCTAGACAACCATTCACCTGAACCAGCCAGCCAGCCATTCACCTGAACCAGCCAGCCATTCACCTGAACCAGCCAGCCAGCCCTTCACCTGAACCAGCCAGCCAGCCCTTCACCTGAACCAGCCAGCCAGCCCTTCACCTGAACCAGCCAGCCAGCCCTTCACCTGAACCAGCCAGCCAGCCCTTCACCTGAACCAGCCAGCCAGCCCTTCACCTGAACCAGCCAGCCAGCCCTTCACCTGAACCAGCCAGCCAGCCCTTCACCTGAACCAGCCAGCCAGCCCTTCACCTGAACCAGCCAGCCTTCCACCTGAGCAAGCAAGTATGACCCTTCAATATGATGCTGACCACTAGAGTACAGCCCTGGAAGTATTATGATTTAATCCCTCGAGTATAACTTAATCCTTTCAATATGATGATTTAACCCTTTGAGTATGATGATTTAATCCATGAGTATGATGACTTTACATCCTGAGTATGATGATTTTACCTTCAATATGATGATTTAACCATTTGAGTATGATGATTTAATCCCATGAGTATGATGACTTTACATCTTGAGTATGATAATTTAAACCTTTGAGTATGATGATTTAAACCCTTGAGTATGATAACTTTACCCCTTGAGTATGCAAACTTATTTTCTTGAGTATGATGAATTAACCCCCTTGAGTATGATGATTTAACTCCTTCAGTAAATAAATGTCTTAACTCAAGGGACTAAGTCAATTCAATCAAAGGCTTCAGACTACTATTTCATCCCCTGAACAAAACTCAATTTACCTACAGTGATTACACACATATCTCTCACCCACTGTGTCCTGGGTTCGAGTCCTGACCTCAGACATATGTGGGAAGGGTGCTATCCAGTGTGACACTACCAAACATGGCAGAATTTCTCCGGATACTCCGCTTTCCTCCAGTACCAATACTGGACAATGTCACTACAGAGTACAGTACTAACAAAGAACAAACCAACTCCGTGAATGACTAGTAAAGTGATATCTTCATTAGCCGGAACAATTGGTGCAGAACACTTTCGGGAATGAGATTTCCGGGTAAAGAGATGACTCTCAAAGCCGGAAAAAAAATTCCTCATAACTAGAATTTTCCGAGTAACAAAAATATTCTTGAGAGTTCAAGAAATTGTGCATTACATCATCTCTCAAACCCAGAAAAACTTCCCCTTTCCCAGAATTTTCCGGATACCGGGAAAATTTTCTTGAAATTTTCCAGAAAATGTGCCCCTCGAAAAATCGTTCCCAAAGCCAGAATTTTCCGGAAAACTCTGTCTTTGGGAATGATTTTCCAAGAAAATTTAAAATCCGGCTATCGGAGTTCCAGGTTTGAGGGATTCCGACTGACGGAGATATTACTGCAAGCTGATAAATGGTGAAATTATAACATAAATTACTTAATATTAAACTCTAGGATTCTTATACAGTATTAAATATACATAATTAAACTAATATAAGCTAAACACTTCATTTTTATGATCTAATATTCAGGAAGGGGAATACCATAAAATAACACATCTAACAAAGCAGTTAGAATATATCCTTAAGTATGTACTGTACTGTACTCAATTTTTCATTTCTTTTTAGCAAGAACAATTTGTTTTAGGAAGGTATTATACTATACTTACATTTTATAATCAAGGCCAGTACCACTGAAGACCGTACTGTAGCGTGCAAGAAGGTTCTTGGTGGGTCTCCCAGCATCACATTCTCTTCAGGACGCTGAGCGGTGATTGTGACAGCAGTACAAGGGTCACTGCTGCTCTCTGTTGTCTGGTGAGTCACATGAAGTTGATAATGTGAAGAAAATGGAAGTCAAAAAATCACAGTGTTTGATAATTGATAAAGTCATCATCATTGGCCTTTTCCCCGATGATATCTGTGGTATCAAGCAGTTCTTGAAAACAGACAAAATATACCAACCCAACCAAAACTACTGAACCTAATTTACAACAATTTAGTCAAGTGTTGGTTTGTTAAATTTCCACAGATCTTTAAAAGTGCAGAGCTAAGAACCCCAAAGGTAAAAATATATATCACACAGCAGAATGAAGTGCTTCCCCATCTGGAGTACTGTCACCCCATCTGGTCCCCGAGATATGCTGAATTCAGTACTGCACAACCTATACTAAAAGCGCCTGAACTTGCCCAGGTACACAAGAAGTCCACCGTAGCCAGGACGTCGTTTGAGCTGGTGACGCGAAGCCAAGATTGAAGAAGCCGCCCAGAAAACCGTGAGGGCAAACTTTTTGAGACAAACCTCTGGAAAACCTTAATGCCGAAGCAACTGTGAAAGCTCTTTCAAGACAAGACTTGACCAACACAGGAGCGGTTCAGGTACATTCAGGAGCCGTGCATGCCCAGTATTTGACGATCTTTTGGTGAAGAAGATAAATGAAAAGAGAGCGCACCGATCGCCCAAGCACAAGCCGATCAGTGGCGAAAATAAAAAAGTGTAAAAAAACTATCACCGTCAAGACCTCATATATATATGTTACAGCAAACTACCACAGTCAAGACCCTCAAAGGTAAAAACGTATACTGTATCACACAGCAAAACTATTCTCAATCAAGATTCTCAAGATATAATACAGTATATATCACAGCAAACCACAACCTCACCATTATATATCCAAAACTACCACAACCTATCCAGTAAATACAGGGTGTTGGCGAGTTCACAGCCGACGACATTTCACTTCGACTGTCACGAAAAAGACGTGATAAATGTAAATACTGTATAAATGTGAATATTTCTTTATGCATAGTAATATAGCCACTCCTCGACTTACGATGGGGTTAGGGACCCAAATCCAGGTCGTAAGTCGAATTGGTTGTAAGTCGAAAATGCGGTCTCCTTTTCTTCTCAGCACCACAAAACTCTCACTTTTAAGCATGCCAGCCATTTTAAAGGGAATTACAAACGAAAATTTTGTCAGTACACGGCGCAATCACTAACGTCGGGACTTGAAAATGCGTAATTTGAAAAAAATTTTGTACGATTGGGGCGGCAGTATGTCCAGGTGGTTCTAAGTCGAGTAGGTCAAAGTCGAGGAGTAGGTGTATTATTATGCTGATTATAGTCTTAAGTTCCAAGTAATATGGACGATTTAACAAAGTAAGTGCTTTTGAATGTAGCCTACCACCTGAATGACTAGTAAGAAAAGAAACTTATTTTTTGGCAGGATGTGAGAATTTTATCCCCGAAACTAAGATTTGTTTTGTTACCAAATTTCATAAGAAACTACTTCATATTAAAATAATAAGTTTACCAAATATGAATAATTATAATTTGTTGTTTAGGAGATAAACCATTTTAGGCCCAAGATATTTTGTGCCAATATTAGCCACGTGACAATGCCTAGAACGATGCTAGATTTGCCACATGATGCCTCAGACCAACACGAACTCTTGAAGAGAAGAGACCAACTTCTACACTCAAGGAGGAGAGGCCGACTTAACATTGATAAGACAGGACATATTAGCGGCTTTCCTACCCATTTGATATTCAAGTACTGTACCTTCTATCAAGCAATGTTGCATCTATATAAGTTTATATCTTTTATATATTTAAAGACATTAGAAGAATGAGCACCAATCATGAAATCAGAAGTTATGATGACCTAATCAACCCCTGCCCAGCGGTCCAGAATGTTCTTTCGTCAGAAGCCAAGATCATAAATATTTTTTTATTTTCCGAGTAGGATTTTAGATTAACTACACTTGACTGAATATTGTCATCAGAGCTTATATATAGGTACTGCACAATTTAGTTGGGATATATTTTCATTGTTATATTTTAGTGGAAATTTGTAGTTTGTGTAAATACGTTAAAAAATGGATATTTTTAAAATAAACGCGACTTAACATTTGTGGGTAAGAAGAACAGACCTGGCCAACCAAACCAAACAAACCTACCTAACCTTACCTTAACTTCCCTGGTATATTAGACAGTAAGAACTTAATATGATATGGTGAAATTTGAGGCATTTTCTGGACGTGAGATGATACGGCCGCATCGGCGCGATGCAGCCCTGAAATACCTGGGGATAAAAACGAATATTAACCATATTAATTTTTGTCAATTCACCAAATCATCGACGGCAACGAATTATATCTTACTACAAACACCAATATAAACTACACTATTACCTTTACCAAGGCAGCATAATATATAAAATGGTAGAGTTTATCTTTGCACTTACCTTTTCATAAAACATCTTCACTAAATTTCCATTTGATGACGGAATAAAACTCTCAGTAACTATTGTAGTGTTGACAAACTGCCATGACGGTGGTTAACCAACTCTGAACATCACATGTAACTTAATTATGAAAATAAAAATACCAACAATTTACTCACCACAGGGGACAGTAGCGACATAAGCTTGTGTAGAAATATGTGGTGATTAAATTTTTTTTTTAATATATAAACAAAAAATTTAATCACCACATAACAGAACATAAGAACATAAGAAAATAAGGAGTCTGCAATAGGCCGGTTGGCCTGTGCATGGCAGCTCCTGTCGAGAGTTACTACCACTCTCTATCATCCATGAATCTATCTAGCCTCCTTTTGAAACTTTCCAGAGTTCCAGCACTTACTACAGTCAGTCACCACACGTCCTTCCCTCACGGCTCACCCAAGCAAATGGATTGTTAGTGACGTCACAATGGTGTGTTATACCAAGGAAGGAATATATAGAGAAACTTGTACTAAATTCAGTTAACGTTCAGGCCCTGACTGCTGCGCCACCTCTCGATTTAATTTTACCAGCAATATTTAAGGTCATCATAGAAAACGTGTTGTTGTCTAGAGAATGAGCTTGTCTTTTGCGTAGACTCCTGTCATAAGCCAAATACCTTTTTATTCTTAGCAGCCATTGCATAAATATATATGATTGTCTGCTTATATATTTATATATTTATTTATTCACGAACAATGGTGTTCCTTAAATAAAAGAAGAGGCAATACCATGTTATACAGTACATGAAATAACATAAATAAGGGATTTAGGAGGTAGATAAATATAAGTTAAGAAAACATCAAAAGCAAGCGGGCAGGTAGACCTAATCTTCATGATATCCACAACAAGTAGAAAGCAGTAATAAAAAGACTAAGTTTCAGCTTTCAGTCTTGGTGGATAAGGCCGAAATACATTACATGTTTGAATGTTCTGATAAGAATCACACACACACACACGCTATAATTTCTTTAAATTTAAGACAGCATACAGCTTGCTAACACTTCCTACTACGACTGAGGAGATAAACTGTAAACTTTGTGATAGTTGACAACTGCAATCAAGCTGTGTGGAAAAGTTAAGTGAAACCAGAGAAAAAAAAGAGAAATACATGTTCTATTTGGTTTGTGTTGTAAATAAAGGAATATACTGTATATCCATCCCATTTAGATTGTTGCGAAAGAAACATATACAGTACAGCCCTAAGCAATAATACATTAGCGTCCCAACTTGGAAAACATGGAATCTAAACCTACAACCCAGAATGCAGCCACCGTACCACGTAGGTATAAGTGCAGGCAACTGTACATCAGTGATAAAATCCATTAAATTTCTACCTGGATGTGGTACACTTTTCGTATTTTGGTTCAGCTTACCTGTGCTTTCATATAATGTACTACATCCACAGAGTAATGAACAATCCTTTCATATTACGGTGCAGCTTCTGTTTTACTATCTGGAGAGATCTCTTTTGGTAAGGTATTCTGTACAGTTCAATGGTTTTATTCATTCCTATACAGTATTGATTTAAATGAATATACATACAGGAATCTAACACTTTCATATATGACCGTTTGAAAATCTGGTTCGCTATGCAGCTACTAGATCATCAGCTGTGGAAATAAAACGTTTTTATAATAAAAGAGTTTGTTTCATTACATCTTAAAGAATTTGATAATTTCCACAAATATTAAACACCTAACATGCTGGTTCTGTTATTCAAGGATCTGGAACAAGTAGTGATAATTGGTATGTAAAATGAGCATTATAGTCGAAGGAAGAGGTACTGTGGGAAACAGGTGGTTTGGTTCACACTCAGGATGGGATGCTCAGAGGAAGACAGCTTGTGGGTCGCCACGCTCGCCGGCGGGAGCGAGGGCCGCCAGGCAGCGGCGGAGGTGGTGTTGCTTGCTGCGGCTGTAGCTAGAAGAAGAGAGAGGTCACCACGAGGTCAGGTCTTAAATAGCGGGGGTAGGCGTGGCTTAGTAGTTGACCTCCGTGATGTATGGTGGCGCTGGTTGACCCAGACCACGAGGCATACACTGGGAATTCGCGGGGTCGGCTACTCAGCGACAAACAGCGCTTGTAGGGGAGAACCACTACAACACTCTCCCTTCCTCCAGGCGGTGTAGGAGACTTGTTGTCTGCAGGGTTGCATGGCACATGTGAGGCAGAATGGGCGGTGCATGCCACATGTGAGCCATAACGGCGAGGGCGTGGATGAGCCGGCCGCTAGAGGAGACAACTGTCTAGATATACAATATCTGTGGGAGTAGAGAGGGAGAAAAAGGGTGTGTGGAGGCGATAAATGTTGTGATTCCCTCACGGCAGGTACAGAGTCGTCAGATGCACCTGCTGGGGTGTGTGGGCCTGGGTCAGGAGCAGGGGCTGCGTCAGCAGAAGCGGATGAGGGCTCGTGACAGCAGCTGGGTCCACAACAGCAGCAGGGTGCAGGACAGTAGCAGGGGGGTACCTGAGGGAGAAAAGAGGGGTGTGTGGGTCCGCACTCAGGCGCATGGGCAGCGTCGGGAGCAGGGGCTGCATCAGGAGGAGTGGCAGGGGGTACTACTGGGCCAGGGGCAGCGTCTGACAGGACGGGTGTGCTGGGGTAGGTAGGACGTGGTGCTTGGGGCAGGAAGAGGAGCTGGTGTCTGCTTAGAGAAGCAGTGCTGCTCTAGGGTGTCTAACCTGCGGTTGTAGAGACAGTAGCTGTAGAGCCGATGAGAGCTGCTTCGGTGGATAAGCCAGTCTTCCATGTTGCTTGAAGACTGGGAGAGTGATCTGTTTCTCCTCCATCCTGTGTGAGTGCGAATCTCCGGGGTCACCATTTGTGGGAAACAGGTGGTTTGGTTCACACCAGGATGGGATGGAGACAGGAAACTCACAATGTGCTCGTATACATGTTGTATTGATGTATAATGCAGCTTGGTGCTGGGAAGGCAGCATGGTTACAAGCGTTGAGTAGAGAGAGCTGGTTGGTGAGGGTGCTCAGAGGAAGACAGCTTGTGGGTCGCCATGCTCGCCGGCGGGAGCGAGGGCCGCCAGGCAGCGGCGGAGGAGGTGGTGTTGCTTGCTGCGGCTGTAGCTAGAAGAAGAGAGCGGTCACCACGAGGTCAGGTCTTAAATATTGGGGGTAGGCGTGGCTTAGTAGTTGACCTCCGTGATGTATGGCGGCGCTGGTTGACCCAGACCACGAGGCATACACTGGGGAATTCGCGGGGTCGGCTACTCAGCGACAAACAGCGTTTGTAGGGGAGAAATCCACTACAGTACTACGTCCGCCAGACCACTAGGGTAAGTAGGATTTTTAGTTTCCAGACAGCTCTGTTGCTCACAATCTTTAATTGTTGATGAACTAGTGTAATTATTGACATTGTTGTGCGATTAAAGAGGTTAAATACTTAAGTTACTTATTTATGTCCTTTGGAAACCGATGAAAATGAAAATGTGGAAAATATGTAAATAACACGGGGATGCGATCTACTCGACATGTTGAACTAAGCGCCCAGAAGTTGAGGCTACAGTTACCTCCCTCACTCTCCCTTGACCATGAACCCACACTACAGTCTCCAGTCACTTGAACTCTCCATCACAGTTCACCAGTCATCGCAGGCGTCACCACAGTTCCCAGTTAGTGACGTGTGAGGGGAGGGGAGGGGTGACCTGTGAGGAGAGGGAGGGAAGGGATTAACTGTGAAGGGGGTGATTTGAGGGGTGGGCACTTGTAAAAAAGGTACATCTTGGTAACAATGTATCCAATTTACTATGGCCACACTTACTATGATATTCTTCTGTGACCACACTTATATGTCTGTAAATTCCACTAGAGCCACACTTAACATATCACACTGGTCACACTTAACATACAGTATTATTCTGGCCACTTAACATATTACACGATGGCCACATTTAACATATTATATACTATGGCCACACCCACATGATTCAGGGAATCAATAATTCTTTACATTATAGCATTCGAGCACAATGCATCTTCACGCCACAGGTATAAAACCCGCCTTTGCCAATATATGACGGCATTGAGGTGGTGTCGCCTGTGTAATAGTGAAGTGTGAATAGCACAACCCTCCACCAAAGCCACCAGGAGGCCCTATCCTTCCAAGCCTCCTGTCTCCACACATCGCACGCTGCCGGCCTAAAGAGAGAGAACACAGCCACGACACAGGTAAACATACAAATAACGCAAATTCCTCAACCGTGTACTGTATTGAGTGTACAGAAAGGGCAACGATGGAAATTGAAATACAGTGTGTGTGTGTGTGTGTGTGTGTGTGTGTGTGTGTGTGTGTGTGTGTCCACCATCATAAAGGCAATGCCTCATTGTCCCCATCCTCAATGCTCGCGTTATATAGTGATGAAACAAAATAATTACACTGAAAAGATGTCGCGAAGAATAACGTGTTTGTGGTGTACGCGGCTCAAGAGGTGGATTACGTATTATCGTGACATGTGCATCGAGTTTTGTGATATCTTTGTGTGTGTTGGTGTAATACGTAGGGAGGAGGGAAGGTTCTCCAAGGTACAGTATATATGGGACAGACAAAATAGTTGAGAGCCTTAAAAATAACCAACCCACATACCCAGTTCACGTCAATGTTGAGTCACACATCCTGTAGTCCGTGCCAGCGACCGTTTTCTCTCTCTCAGCTCTTGCCCAATGTGACTGACTTGACTGCCAATCTTAAGTCCCTCGTGGAGATCAGAAGTGTGACTGACTGCCTCCCTTAAGTCCCTCGTGAAGATCAGAAGTGTGACTGACTGCCTCTCTTAATTCCCTCGTGAAGATCAGAAAATTGACTGACTCTAAATTCGTCAAGACACACAGAGATTTAGCCGACGGGTGAAACATGATTTTATGAACTAATTGACAGCAAGACAAAGTTCTATAGCGTGAGAGTGGAGGCGGTGGCGTGGCTCATACAGGTGTGGGCATGAGTCAGACAGGGTGTGGGCGTGGGTCAGGCAGGGAGGGGCGTGAGTTAGGCAGGCGTGGGCGTGTGAGAGGGGAGGCCTGAGGCACACAGATGTGGGAGTAAGTTAGACAGGTGTGGGTGTGGGTCAGACAGGTGTGGACGTGGGTCAGACAGGTGTGGGCGTGGGTCAGACAGGTGTGGGCGTGGCCTTGTACCGATGCAACATGACTTTTACCGAGGCAGTGGTCCGCACACTAACTGACCCTCCCCATCTGGTGGGGACAGGAGGGGGACATCACCCCTTGTGCTATGGTGAGGGATACCACCACACCACACCACACCACCAATACACGTATACCACATTACCACACCTTACTACTCTACTACCACACCACAGCACCAATACACTACTACACCATCACACCACACCACCACACGACCAATACACTGTCTCACCACCACACTCCCTCATTACTCCACCAATTAATGATCACGAGACAATGACAGCAACACAGCGATCTTGGGGGAGTGAGGCGTGACCCACACACCCTCTGTATAAGGTGTGGACAGGTGCGACCCCTCCACCTGTGTCAGTCACCCCATACGTGTGTCAGTCGCCCCATACCTGTGTCAGTCACCCCATACCTGTGCCAGTCGCCCCATACCTGTGCATACCTGTGTCACACCCCATACCTGTGTCAGTCGCCCCATACCTGTGTCAGTCGCCCCATACCTGTGTCAGTCGCCCCATACATGTGTCAGTCACCCCATACCTGTGACAGTCACCCCATACCTGTCAGTCGCCCCATACCTGTGTCAGTCCCATACCTGTGTCAGTCACCCCATACCTGTGCCAGTCGCCCCATACCTGTGCATACCTGTGTCAGTCACCCCATACCTGTGCCAGTCGCCCCATACCTGTGCATACCTGTGTCAGTCACCCCATACCTGTGCCAGTCGCCCATACCTGTGCATACCTGTGTCAGTCACCCCATACCTGTGTCAGTCGCCCCATACCTGTGTCAGTCGCCCATACATGTCAGTCACCCCATACCGTGACAGTCACCCCATACCTGTCAGTCGCCCATACCTGTGTCAGTCGCCCCATACCGTGTCAGTCACCCCATACATGTGTCAGTCACCCCATACCTGTGACAGTCACCCCCATACCTGTGTCAGTCGCCCCATACCTGTGTCAGTGGCCCCATACCTGTGTGTCAGTCGCCCCATACCTGTGACAGTCACCCCATACCTGTGCAGTCACCCCATACCTGTGACAGTCACCCCATACCGCCTGCCAGTCCCATACCTGTCAGTCGCCCCATACCTGTGTCAGTCGCCCCATACCTGTGTCAGTCACCCATACCCAGACACCCCATACCTGTGACAGTCACCCCCATACCTGTGTCAGTCGCCCCATACCTGTGTCAGTCGCCCCATACCTGTGTCAGTCTGCCCCATACCTGTCAGTCACCCCATACCTGTGTCAGTCACCCCACACCTGTGACAGTCACCCCATACCTGTGTCAGTTGCCCCATACCTGTGTCAGTCGCCCCATACCTGTGTCAGTCACCCCATACCTGTGACAGTCACCCCCATACACTGTGTCAAGTCGCCCCATACCTGTGTCAGTCGCCCCATACCTGTGTCAGTCGCCCCATACCTGTGTCAGTCGCCCCATACTTTTGTCACTTAGATTACACCAGGTTAGGCCAGGTTAGGTTAAGGTGTTTAATCCTTAACGTCCCTAGAATATAACAAGAAAATACTGTTGGTAGGCAGTTCTCTGGGCCCTCTCGTCCTTCCACCACACATCATCGTAGGTAATGGCGACCTGACCTATTTTCTACCCACTCTCCTTGTGTATACTTGCTTCTTCAAGGCCCAATGTATAATTTGTATGTTTGTAAATTAATACACGCCCATATAAAACAAATTCACACCCACGCTTTGCCACATGTGTACAATACATACACGAAATACACAACTCATACGCCCACGTACTGGTCGCTATAAGAACAGCATCATTCCAACCACTGTAAAACTCATCAACAACTTGTGTGTTCACTCCTTGACAATCTCACTTTTGTACTGTAACTGCTGAAATTCCCTTTATATGGTCCACTCCCCGAAGTTAAAATGTGTCATTTGTATATTTTCAGTACACATGAACGCTTACACACAGAGTAGTAGTGATTAGACCCCCCGCCCCCACACACACACTGTTGTAATTGCTGTGAGAGACATTCTGAACGTGTCTGAGAAATACTTGTGATAGAGGGAGTGAGAATTACGTGTAGGTAAGTGGAGGAGGGAAGAACAGGAGTGAGAGACGTGGATGACTCAGCACTAGAGGGAAAAAAGGAGGCGCTGAAGAAAGGATCCTGGACCACAGTCAAGGTAAGTCCCGCTGCATACATCACTGAGTACATGACCTCCAGCCAAGCCCCTGTGGTACCCGCCTACACACACACACACACACACACACACACACACACACACACCTGAAGGCTAGGTCAGGTGAGGACAGAGTAAATTTGCTTCAGTTCAATAGAAGTAGAGAGTAGGTTAGGTCAAATCAGGGTTAGGTTTGGTTATGGAAGGGTAAGTTGGGTAAGCAAAAGGTTAGAACTTGACCCCACATATGAACACCCAGATCTGCAAACTGCCGCTTATCCGTCCAATCATTGCAGCCATCCTAACTTTACGTAACCTACAGTAACAAACTTATTAACACATGTGAGATGACAGATCCCTCCTCGTGTCCAGGACAGTAATAACACCAAAAATAATTCCGTAAATTCATTAAATGGTTCTCGTGTACCGAGGGACACCAAAGCGTGAATTTGTTTCAGGTGTAGAAGCAGTCGCAACACAACAATCACACCCTTGTTAACGAGTTGCATGACCCAGTGTCCGAGAAGACCGGACAACTCGCCAACTGCACTGGCTAACCATTACCCCGGAGGCAAATGGCGTAAAGAAACTTACCCATAGTTTCACCCTGCCCAGGAATCGAACCCGGGTCCGCTCGCTTGCGAGGCGAGCATGCTGACCATTATACCACAGGTCGCCACACACACACACACACACACATCTTATCTTGAAATAATAAACATCTTTACTGAGAAAACATCTCTTATAGAGTGGCAGCTGCCGTTTCTCTTTTACAGCAAAGATTGTGTTTGTTTTTTCAACGTAAGTGTGTGTGTGTGTGTATGTGTGTTTGTTGACGGTGTAGTGAGGGCTTGCAGCTACATTATGCTTAATTAAGCTACGCGCTTTCATCCTCATTGCTCGCCTCACAGAACGCTTGGCGCAACTCTTAGCGTCTGGCGCAAATCTTGTACGGCACTCTTAACCTACCACACACACACACACACACACACACACACACTACTCACTGTCATGACCATCAGGTCTAAGTGGTGAAAATGGCCAAGATGTTGAATGTCTTATCATACGCGCCCTTGATAGCAACCAAGTGTTATTGTGGTCATGGTAGGAGGGAAACAGCGTACTACAGTGAAGGCTACAGATCTCTCTCTCTCTCTCTCTCTCTCTCTCTCTCTCTCTCACACACACACACACACACACACCTGCTAAGCTAAGTGGCATCTGGGGGCGAGGTCAGGTTAGATTAGGTTAAGTTAGGTTAGACTAGGTTGTTAGGTCACGGTAGGTTAGATTAGGTTGAGTTAGGTTATGTTAAATTAGGTTAAGTTTATTTGTGTTAGGTTAGGCTTGGGAGATGAATGAGGTGAGGGGGAAACGAGTTAAGTACATGGGAAGAGTGTGTGACTGAGAGAGAACACCAGTCGGAGGGGTTATGAGGTTGAGAGACCGTGAGAGTGAGGACAGGCGTCAATGTGCGAGAGGTGTGAGGGAGGTGAGGGTTGTGAGGGCGTGAGAGGTGTGAGGGCGTGAGAGGTGTGAGGGCGTGGATGGTGTGAGAGGTGAGGGAGGTGAGGTTGTGAGGGCGTGAGGTGTGAGGGCGTGAATGGTGTTAGGTTGTGAGGGCGTGAATGGTGGAGAGGTGGAAGGGCAAGTGTAGGGGAGGGCAGATCTTGGTGGCTACATCTGCCGGGGGAGAATGGCTTTACCAGACTCATCAATCCACTCAGCTGACGAAAATGTTGTTTACATGCGGCCCGACGTTAATAATATCAAGCGAGCGAAGATTACGACTCGGCGGCGGTGGTTGTAGCCAATACTGTGACGAGAGTTATAAACATTCTTGGTGTTGTGTTA